ACATGTCTCTTGACCTCAGGGTTGTGAGTGTGAGCCTCACTCTGGGTATAGAGATTACTGAAAAATAAAATCTTAAAAAAAAAAAAAAAAAAAAGTTGCACAGTCTTCCAACTGAGCCAGCCAGGTGTCACAGCTTTTACGTGTTTTCATTTTTAATTAATCCTTTCAAAAAATACTACATCCATAACAGCCTTGCTGGCATAGAGGAAGATATTGTGGGGATAAACACAAATACTGATGATTCCTAGTGAAAAAAATGTTTCATCTGAGAAAGAAACGCTAAGGTAGTTTGAGAAATACTTTAACCAGTTTATTTTATTTATATTTCCGTTTTTATTAGGCATGAGAGTGAAACATAAAAATAACCATCTAATTAAGTCTTAGTTCTTCTATAGGCATAAAGCAGAAATTCTAAGTAAAGAAAAGCATAGTTTACTTGGCTGTTTTTCTTAGTTGTACATTAAAAAAAACGCTTTATACTAGATGGCATCATCAACCATATAAAATATGGTATACCAAACAACTTGAAGTTCTCTTTAATAACATAATAGAGTTGTATCATTTATCAAAATATTTTTAAACAATACAGGTATTTCTGGCCTATCAATGTAGCAATGAAGTGCCAGGAACTGGGATAGAAAAAGCCTTGCTTTGATTTTGGATACAAAAAGCATTTCTCCAGCTACTCTCTAATCTAAAAAAGACTGGTGCCATGCTTCCTGGACTTCAGTAACACATGAGAATCACTGGAGAGCTTTGTTAGTTCCCTGGGACCACTCCTGAAATTCTAATTCAGCAGAACTGAGATGGGGTCTGAGAATTTACATTTCTTTTCTGCACCTCACAGTTATATTTTATTTATTTATATTTATTTTTACAAAATAGGATGTCACAATTAGGGTTATTGTGCAGACTGCTTTCTTTTCTACTTCTTACCATTTGAAGCCAACACTGTTTGTATTAACCATGTATAAAAGATATCAGATTATTCTACTCTAGATGAACGACCTCACAATGTGTTTTCTCTCAACATACCTATCTCTCGAGCAAGAATAATACTGCTGAGGCGTATCGGTTGGGTAGATTCAGCAATGAGCACAGCTTTTTGGGAACATAAGGTGCCATTTTCATATAAAGGCTCAACAGTTACTGCATCATGATGGGAGGAATGCCTGCCAAAATAAAATACTTAAGAGTATGAAATAAGAATGTAGGTTAAAATTAATTTTCAGAGGAACACAGATTCTTACAGTTTTTCCATATTACACACTACCTGGTATATTTAAATGACACTCTTTAAAAGAGACTGATAAAAACCTTTCCCCAATGATCACTTGTACAATGTTGCACATGTATCATATTCCTCCCTCGATACTTAAAACAGGCTTGTGCCAGGGCGCCTGGGTGGCTCAATCCATTTAGCATCTGCCTTTGATTCAGGTCATGATCCCAGGGTCCTGGAATCAAATCTCACATTGGGATCCCTGCTCAGTGGGGAGTCTGCTTCTTCCTTTCCCTCCTGCTCTTGCTCTTTCAAATAAATAAAATCTGTTTTTTAAAGCCCTGATGCGGGGCTCGATCCCAGGACCCTGAGATCATGACCCGAGCCAAAAGCAGAGGCTTTAACCCACTGAGCCACCCAGGTGCCCAAATAAATAAAATCTTTAAAAAATAAACTAAGGGAAGCCTGGGTGGCTCAGATGGTTGAGCCTCTGCCTTCGGCTCAGGTAATGATCTCCAGGTCCTGGGATCAAGTCCCACCTTAGGCTTCCAGCTCAGTAGGGAGTCTGCTTCTGCCTCTTCTTCTGTCCCTCTCCCCTGCTTTTGCTCTCTTTGTCTCTAATGAATAAATAAAATCTTAAAAAATAAATAAATAAAATGAGACTGTTCCATTCTTCCCTCAGTAAGCAAAAACAGGATTCATGGGGGCACCTGGGTGGCTCAGCCAGTTGAGCCTCTGCCTTTAGCTCAGGTTATGACCTCAGGGTCCTTGGATGGAGCCCCGCAACCGGCTCCCTGCTTAGCAGGGAGTCTGCTTGCTTCCCCGCCACCTCTCCCCCGTGCATGCACCCCTTCCTGCGCTTTCTCTCCCTCTCTCTCCAATAAATAAGTAAAATCTTAAAAAGCAAACAAACTGGGATTGATGTTGTGTTTCCAATAATGAAAGACAAGGATTTCTCATACTGTGAGGAATGAGTTTTGTCCAATCTTAAAACTGGGCTGCCAAGACAGAAAAACTGCCTAAATTTTCAAGTGTGAGTACGATTCAGAATGCAATAAAAAAATATATTTTGGGACACTTGGGTGTCTCAGTTGGATATGTGTCTGCCTTCGGCTCAGGTCGTGACCTGGGGGTCCTGGGATCCAGCCCAGGGATCGACTCCCTGCTCCTCCCTCTGCCCCTCGCCCTGCTTGTGCTCTCTCTCGCCGGCTCGCTCTCTCGTAAACAAACAAACAAATAAAATCTTTTAAAAAATTAAAAAGTTAACGTTTTGGCTTCGGATGGTGAGATTCCGCGCGTCACCCACAGCGGGTCATGTTCCAGCCGTGAAACGCCAGCCGCCCCGTCCCGGTCCGCACCAGCCTCACGGCCGCGTCCCGACACGCGGCGGCGCCCACTTCCCCTCAGAGTAGAGGAAGCTCCGCAACAGCCCCAGGCAGGCCTCCTCTCCACCCGAAGCGAGTCTCCCCGCCCCACCGTGTCGGGGCCTCGTCTCGCTCCTGAGTGAACTGGGGCTGCACGAGGCCGTGAGCGGTGTCCCGAGGCCCCAGCTTGTCCGCGCTCGCACCCCCATGCTCCGCCCCCCAGGGACACCTCCTCAGGCCGTGCGGGGACCACCTCGCGCTCCAGCAGGTCCCCACAGGAAAGCCCCTGAAGCCAACGGCCACAGGGCGCTGCGGTGTTGTCCTTGTCGAGGAAGCCCGTCGGCCCTGGCTTCGAACCTGGCTTCGACCCTTGCAGGGCCAAGGGGCCGCGAAGACCCGGGGACCCCGCCCCTCACCAGGTGTAGCAGCCGCGCTGCGCCTCCAGCAGGAAAGGCACGCGGCCGGCCTCCCGGCCGAAAGGGAGCAACACTTGCGGCACGTTGAGTTTGCTGGCCCGGGTCCCCACCAGGCACTGAAGCAGCAGCAGGACACCAGCCGCGGGCCGGCCGCCAAACGGCCGGCCGCATCCGGGACGCGGGGCCCCGAAGGCCGTCATGGCGACCACCGGGTCTCCAGTTCCCGCTCGACTGCGGCCGCAGCCCGAGCCCCCTACGCCGGCCAATCGCTGGGCGCGACGTCACGGGGGCGGGGCCTCCGCCACCCGGGAATTGTGGGAGTCCCTCCTGTGAGCCGCGCGTGGAGACCCGGTGCAGCGCGAGCACAGGCTCCGACTCTCGGGTGGCGATGAGCCGAGACGGCCTCCCTCTCCCAGGTCAGCTTCTTCCGCTGCCTGCCTCGTGTTCGGTTCCCAGCCGACCATCTGTGCTGCCGCGATGTCCGAGCGGCATTGGTCGGTGCCTTCCCGGCCTCGGCGTGCAGAGCGGGACTCGGGCGAGGAAGCCGCGTCTTGGATACGAGGAAGTGGGACTCGCGTCCCGCCTCAGGCCAGGGCGCGGGATCGGCCGGCAGGTCGCAGGTGGCCGCCCGCGCGCGCTCCGGGTCCGGCCCACCCGGCTCCTTCCCACGGCCCGCGGAGGCCCAGCTCGGGGGCCAGGGCAGGACACGGACCGGCGTCAGAGACGGCTGGTCACTTCGGGAGCCCCGAGTCCGTGGCTCCCGAGCGTGAGCCCCACGAGAAAGGGGCACGCAGCTCGGCCTGAACACGCGCGCGCCAGTGAAGGAACCTACGTCTGTCCCAATCACACGTACCCCGGTGACATGTATCTTTTGTCTCACAGACGGAAAAAGCGAATTATTTACATCAGGCGCGCAAGACAGAGTTCTGAACCCAGCTTTGGTCTGCTTCCACAGCGCGCCACGCCGAGTGAAGCCCGCGGCTGCCACCCACAAACATCTGATCTTTCACTCAAACTCCGCAGTTCCTGTGGAGAAAGTACAACTGGATTCGTAAGAAAAGTCGAGTAGGTCCGAGGGCTCGAGGGACTGGTTCTTTATTTCAAAAAGACACTTGTCAATTTTCAGTATCAAAACAGTTTGCACTATGGGTTTCCTTTCTCCCAATCGGCCCGAAGAGAGCACACCAGCGGGGGCGCACCTGACAGGCCTCACAGAAACCTCACCGAAAAGGGGAACTGGGGAGGGAAAGAAACTTTAAAAGACCAGCACTCGGTCAGCCCACAGCCTGCAGAGAATGCTCAGCCAGACGCGGTGGCCAATGTGCCCCAACCCTACAGAAGCAAACTTTCAAAATAATATAAAATTTTAAAAAGTTTTGTACATAAGCTATTCAAGATTTCTCCAGCACTGACTGATACAAAGCACGAGATGGCACTTCTAGAGACAGCAGCTTTGGACCCAGCGAAGGGTGATGAGTTTGTCTCATGTGGCTGAATCAGGGGCAAGCACGTAATTTTCTTTTTTTCCTTCAAGGAGACAGGAGAGCAAGTGGTCACCTCAACATAAGGGGAACATGATCCATTCTGTGGGCAGTTAGGGCCAAGACAGGCGCGGGATTTGGTCTCAGATAGAGGTCTCACCATCTTAATTTGGTCACTTCTGATGAAAAAAAAAATTAATAAAGTTGCTCAAAGATACCTTAACGCTAAACCCTGAGCCACACTTTTTTGGCCATTCCTCCTGGAATCATCTTTCTAATCTGGCTGGTACTTTGGACAAAGCAACGAAGCTTCCCAGAGTGGGGCTCTTTCCGGGCTCTGGCTCTCAGCAAGGTAGGCCCCTGCCGCTTGCCCTCCTCCGCGGAGGGCAGTATGCACTGAACTGAAAAGTTACTTCCCACATGTGAGGAAGGGATGAGACTGCTGCTCCAGAACCGTGGATAATTTGGAATGTTTTACAAATGGTCACTACATCAAGAACAGCAAAAAAGGTGATTAAAAATGTGTACATCACAACATGCTTTTAAAGACACTTTGCATTGTGCTCACATTCCCTTCAACATTGTTCCCAAAGGTGCTCAGCCTCAAGCCCAGCTGGAATCTCTAGGGAGAGGCAGAGACAGTTTGGCGAAAAAGACACAGGGGACGGGGTGGGAGAGGCGGCAAGAGGAGAAAGCAGCCTTCCAGTTAAAGATCAGCCCTCAGTTGCAAGGCCGGCTTCGGGCAGGCCGGCCTCAGGCGGAGTCGGGGCAGAGGGAGGAGCAGCGGCGGGCGGGATGGCGGGTCTACATCTCGTTCAGGTCCAGCAGAGTCTGGTCCAGCATCCTCTGTGTGCACAGATGCTCCTCTTTGGTGCATTTCAGCTTATCTAACGGGGTAAAGGAGAGATGTTACACGAACTAGCAGCGAACATCCCGGTCTTCCCACCGGGAACCTCTCCTGCTGCGGGGAGGCTGCGGACGAACACAGCAGCCGCCCTCCTGGCCTCCGCCGCACGCTAAGGCGCCGCTCGCTTCTGCAGGCCTTGGGCGGCCGAGCTGCGGCTGCAGGTGTTGCTATTTCTCTGTGGGGAAGAGGCGGGAGACCTTATCAGTCATTTCCTCATTCACCCACACCCAACCAAGGCTTTCAGTTTTCAGTCACTGGAGAGGCAGCCTTAGGCATCAGCCATCCTTTCTTTCTGGGCTTTGCCCATAGGACGGTGCCTACCTGACATGGCTCACTGGGGTGTGAGCACTAAGAACAAGGATGGGCATGTTTCTACCAGTAAAAACAGAGGCTCAGTACAAGAGGAACCTCATGAACTACAGGCTTCCTCCAACAAGGAAAGAACAATTAATTGGTGGGATAAATGAAAGACCCCATAGAGCCCGTCACAGAATCACTAAAGGCCACAGAGCCAATAATACTACTGAACATACAAGCAAAACCTTAACTGCGATTTTTATAGAGCTATTCTCCAAAACTAGCCTGTGATAGATAGTTACAATTAAACATAAAACCAGGAAAAAGGAGCAAGAAGGAAAAAGTCAGGAAGAAGACCTGTGGCGTGAACAGCAAGGAGAATCTAATCTGCTCAGCAAGCAAACCCCTAAGACCGCTCTAGGGGCGCAAATACTCACCACGGCCTTATTAATACCCCATACCCTTCCTCTCCTTTCCCTTTTTTCCCACCCAGTCAGAAGGGCCCAATCTCTGGGCCTGCAGATGAAGCAGTCACGACATCTTGTCTAATTGGTTCTTTTATTGTTAGAAAACATCCACGCAGGGGGAACACTGCCTACAGCCAATGTTTGGGTTCAAAGGCGGCAAGTCAAGGTGGAAACCAGAAAGTTCTCTCTGGTTCCTCACTATGATCTCTCAAGCCCCTCCCTTTATCACCCGTTATCTCTTGAAAAGGAACAGAAATGCAGCGCCAACTGTTCTCACTCTGCAGCACAGTTAGGAAGCCAACGATATTCTCACTGCCCCAATTAAAAAGCAATTTGTGGGGCACCTGGGAGGCTCAGTGGGTTAAGCATCTGCTTTCCGCTCAGGTCACGATCTCAGGGTCCTGGGATGGAATCCTGTGTTGGGCTCTGCTCAGCAAGGAGTCTGGTTCTCCCTCTCTCAAATAAACGAATAAAACCTTAAATTTTTGTTGTTGTTGTTTTGTTTTGCTTAGGGCAAAATGACTTTAAAAAGAACAATCAGCTTTCTGCTGGGGTCCAGGTCAGTGGTGTCAGCAGTGGGCTCGGCTTATCGGACACCAGGGAGCCCCGCTCATCAGTCCCCCGACCATGCAGCAGGAGCTGCAGCTTGCTGGAGAGCAGGCGGGTGCGCTCAAGTTGGCTGCAGAGACACTCTGCAGCAGCACCAGGAGGAGGAAGCAAGAGCAGGAGAGGACACAGAGGAGAAAGAGAAAAAGGGGAGGTTAGCAGAGCACCACAAGAAACCCTGGACTAGCTGATACACAGAACATGCACCTGAAAGGCAGAGTTGATGCAGGCGGCCTTCGGACAGAGAGGGCAGGAAGAGTCAGTCAGGTGGTGGAAAGACCAACAAAGGAACAAAATAAAATATCCTGACAGACCAGCTGGAAGGACAACATTTTGAGAAAGAAAAAAGTATCTCCTTTGCAAAGGTGTTTATTCCCCGGGTTGAGAAACACACAAGTGAAACGGGGAAGCAAGGCACACAGATGGCTTGTAATCAGGGTTTGACAGAAGCTCAAGTGGGCGGCTGGAACATTTTCTGTAAAAGCATTCAATACGGGGTGCCTGGGTGGCTCAGCTGGTTAAGTGTCTGCTTTTAGCTTAGTTCATGGTCCCTGGGTCCTGGGATGGAGTCCGGCATCAGACCCCCTGCTAGGCAGGGAGCTTGCTCCTCCCCGTGCAGCTCCCCCTGCTTATGCGTGTGTGCACACTCTCTGACAAATAAAAAAAAAATCTAAAAAAAAAAAAAAAAAAAAAGATTCGGGCGCCTGGGTGGCTCAGTGGGTTAAAGCCTCTGCCTTCGGCTCAGGTCGTGATCTCAGGGTCCTGAGATCGAGCCCTGCATCGGGCTCTCTGCTCAACGGAGAGCCTGCTTCCCTCTCTCTCTCCCGCTGCCTGCCTCTCTGCCTACTTGTGATCTCTGTCTGTCAAATAAAGAAAATCTTTATTAAAAAAAAAAAAAAAAAAAAGCCTCTGCCTTCAGCTCAGGTCATAATCCCAGAGTCCTGGGATCAAGCCCCGCATCGGGCTCTCTGCTCAGCGGGGAGCCTGCTTCCTCCTCTCTCTCTCTCTGCCTACTTGTGATCTCTGTCAAATAAATAAATAAAATTAAAAAAAAAAAGATTCAACACAGTATTATGAATGGTAAATTAGGGTCAATATCCCTACACCCATTCAATCCTACCTTCTAATGCTCCTTGTAGGTGCTCAGTGGCTAACCCATCTCGGGGACTGTCCATCAAACCCCACCTCCCCTTTTCAAAAAGAACCCAATCCTGTTAAGGTGGGCAGCATGTCCAGCCCCAAGGAAGGCCAATCAAGATTACCCTGCCATTTTTCCAGCCTCCCTTGCAGTTAGAGGTGATTATGGAATCCAGTTCTGACCAGTGAGATACAGGGAGTAGTCTGTTGGAAGCCTTCTGGGAAAACCAGCTTTCTTTCTTGCCTTGAACATGGATGTGAGGGTGAAAGTTACAGATTTCAACCTCAAGAGAGGGCCAAGAGAATCACAGAAACCCAGCTACACCAGGCCACAGCTGCTCTAACCTGGACTTATTATTACGGGACACAAGTAAGTCCCATATTTATTTAAGCAACAGTTAAGCTGTTTCCCATAACCAAAAGCAGTCCTGGTTAAGAGTAGTTAAGTACTGGGGCACCTGGGTGGCTCAGTCGTTAAGTGTCTGCCTTCAGCTCAGGTCATGATCCCGGGGTCCTGGAATCAAGCCCCACATCAGGCTCCCTGCTCAGCAAGAGACCTCCTTCTCCCTCTCCCACACTCCCTGCTTATGTTCCCTCTCTCACTGTGTCTCTGTGAAATAAATAAAAATCTTTTAAAAAATAAATAAATAAATAACGGGCGCCTGGGTGGCTCGGTGGGTTGAGGCCTCTGCCTTCAGCTCAGGTCATGGGGATCAAGCCCCACATGGAGCCCCTCGTCAGGCTCTCTGCTCAGAGGGGAGTCTGCTTCCCTTCCTCTCTCTCTGCCTGTCTCTCTGCCTACTTGTGATCTCTATCAAATAAATAAAATCTTTTTAAAAAAATAATAATAAATAACTAAATAAATAAAAGTACTCAAACCAATGACTTTATCTCGATTTTCCACTTGGAGCACACCTTTAAGAGGGGGTACAGAGAGAAACCAAACCCATCTGACCACAGGGTTAACAGGAATTTGGGGACAGACCTACCTGGTCTCCAACTCTCAAGTTCACAAACAAGTTTCTTCCTACGTTTTGTAGTCTGTTTCAAAATGGCCTCAGGACTTCAATGTAAAGCTATATTCTTCCGTCTTAAAGATCAAGTGTATCCGCAGAAGGACTGTGCCCACAGTCCAAGCGCATTGTTCAGGCACCTTGCCCTCTGGGCAGAGGTTTTCTCCTGCTCTACCCAGAAGCAGATGACCAATACGGTCCCAAGAATACTTGCCACTTTACATACACTATCAAAACAGCAAACATATGTATACAAAATGATCCTGGGAGGAAATAACTAAAAATAATAGTTATATTAAAGGGCAGAATTAGATCGAACTTTAAGAACTGCACTTCCCAGGGTGCCTGGGTGGCTCAGTGAGTTAAAGCCTCTGCCTTCAGCTCAGGTCATGATCCCAAGGGTCCTGGGATCAAGCCCCGCATCAGGCTCTCTGCTCAGCGGGGAGCCTGCTTCCTCCTCTCTCTGCCTGCCTCTCTGCCTACTTGTGATCTCTGTCGGTCAAATAAATAAAATCTTTAAAAGAAAAAAAAAAAAAAAAAGAACTGCACTTCCCATTAAACCAGTGGTTCTCAATACACGTGCTATTATTGCCTGTTCTCTCCCCTTGGAAGGAAATTTGGAAATGTGTGGGGCAGGTTTTAATTGTCATAGTAACTAGAAGACCCTACACGTATTTATTGGTTAGGGGACAGCAGTAAGTAGAGGACAGTTCCGTACATCCCAGACTCATCTTGGTTTGAATGACCACAGTCCGCCACTGAGGAAACACTACACTAGTCTACAAGCCCCACGAGGCCTGGGATCGGAACTGTCTTATTCACTGTGGCATCCCTGACAGATGTGGGGGCTCAAATCTGTGAACGCTCACTTCTTAGGCTTTTGGTAACATTCTACACAGATTCTAAACACCGCCTGACTCTGCTGTAGCATCCCTATCCACCAGTTCCTGCAGCCCACTCCTGTCCTGTGAAAGAAGGGTCCTATCAGAATCTAGTCCCTCAAAACAGCCTCGTCAGTGAGGGGTTTGTTCCATTTAGGGAAGGAATAAGAAGAGAAATGGAAGCGTTTTCTTGCCTGATTAAATCCTAGAACCCACAGTTCCCTAAAAACGGCAGAAGGTCAACAGATAAATGTGGTTATCTGCTCACCCTGAACTAGTATGTAGGAGTTCTAATCCTGCGATCTCTGGTAACTAAAAATTCAGGATCAGATACCAGCTCATTTAGTCAAAGTTCTTGGTTCCCTGATAATAGCAAAATAAAACAAACAAACAAACAAAAAAAAAAATGCAAGCCAGAGAATCCATTTGGTCTGATGTTCCTTTTAGGCCTGTCCAATTAATTAGGGAATGATCCCATGGATGCTAGACATCCTTTAGGCTTCATTGGCCTGAATCAGGTCAATTTCATTCTCTAACAGGAAAAGAGAGTGGGAAGGCTGGAAGAGTAAAGGAAACTAATTCTATGTGTTTTAAAGCCTCACAATTCAAGAGATAAAAAGGAACAGATTTTGCCTTTTTCTTTTTTTTCAACTTTCCCCTAATATTAAGGCGGGGGGATATGCAACCAGTACCATGAGAAAATACTAGATTGGGTGGGGCTAAGACAAGGCTGCCCAACACCACAGGGCAGTTCCGCCAACCAGGTAACTTGGGACCCAATCATATGTTGTGCCTCATCCCAACAAAGGTAACAAGGAAGGGTAGAAAGGACTCTAACACATCAGACTGTGGTTCAGTCTCAGAAATTAAGAGGGAAAAGAGATCAAAATGCTTTGCTCTGAGATTACCAATGCTGCCTCTTGACCCCATCCCCATAGCTAGTCCAGGCTCGAGTCACGTACAGTGGCTTCTGCAGTAAGCGGGAAGAATGAACTTGGCACCACACAGCATTTCAAATTTCACTCTGCTACTCTGGCCTGTTGGTTTCCATCCTTGCTCACACCAGTCTTGCCGCTGGGGGAAGACCATGGCCACCAGAAGCAGAGCGCCTTGCTTTTGTCCTAATTTGCCTCCATCCTCATATACCTCTTTCTTTCCCAAGAAGCCTTTCTCTGTGCCAGTCAACTCTTTCTGCCCAAACACAAAACATCTACCATTGTACTATCCAACACAGCAAGCAGTCACTGACCACATGTGCCTATTAAATTCAGCAGTAAAACTAGCAGACTCTTAGCTCCTCGGTCACATAAACCACGCTCTGAGTGCTCAGCAGGCCCTGCGCATGCCTGGGGGTCACTGTTTTGGCAAGACTGTCAGAAGTTCTTGCTGGGCAGCACAGCTCCAGGCTCTATGTCTTGCCCTGGTTTTCCTTCCACTTAGTTCACCCTTCTGCTCCTTGAAATATGGTTTCTGTCCTTGATCTCAATGCTCGAAACACACCCCTGAATTAATGAAGTGCTCATGGCAACGTCCCGTCTTGAGCTAGCTTTCTTCTCAACCTGCTGAAGTTGAGAACCTCCGGAAGTCCTCCGTCAACGGCTCAATTAGCAAAGCTGCTGCTTCTCTTTCCATCCCTCTGACCAGCTCTGCCTGAATCCCTCCTCTGCGCATGTTTCCCTGTTTGCTTCATTCCTTTTACATCTGCAACTGTCTTTCGGGTTCTAAATGTACTTTCGTGGTCTAAATGGCCTGCCACTCATACGGCGTTCTGAATCTTGCATCAGCCAGCCTATCCCCTCAACGCCCAGAGTTTTGTTTTCACCTGGATACCTGCCAGTATTTCAGACTCCTCTCTTCTACCCTCTCCTGCCTCTTCAAACCAGACTACATGATCTCCCTATACCTTCAATGCTACCATTTTCCTAGGATCCAAACCAGTCACTCCTGACTTTCCTCCTCACACCGCATGCCTTCCATCGTGTGCGCCTTCAGTGCTGTCTCTCTACAGATGATGATCTCGGGGAAAACTGCAACAATCTAAGCCAGTTTCTCTCAAAGCAAACTTGCTGCTGGTGCTGCATAAGGAGATTTCTGACAATATACGCTTGTGAACTTAAAACTTACTTGCTATATGGTTTTTGTGTGCTTTAGGAAAAATCACTAGCAGGTATCTAACCTTTTACTTTAAATCAGAATTATGTATGTTAAGACAAATTTGAAAATAAAGAGTAAGTGTGAAGAAAACAATAATGTAGGGAGCACGTGAATATGGCAAAAGCCACCAAGGAGGACACAAATGACTCACATTTATGAACTGTCTTCTATCTAAATGCATCACTTTGATCATCTGCTCCCCTTGTAATCTAGTAACTTAGCCGCCACATCAATTCTTCATTGTGACTCATACCAGGACATATCCTTGTTCAAAATCTCCAGGGGCATCCCCATCCCCTATAAACCCCAACGTGGATTTCAGCACGCACTGCCCCTCCTGTCTAAATCTACCTTTACAGCCATTATATCCTTTCCATCTCTACCGACGCTTCTACTCTCTTGCTTTTTAACCAAAATGCTTAATGTCCACAACCCTTCAACCAAAATCTGTCAGAAATCCAATCCTTTAGAACCCAATAAAAATGAAGAGGCAAGTTTTAGTATGTTTATTAAGTACCTATTAAGTGCCTCCTTCTTTGAGTCTTTATCATCCCCACTGAAAACAGCCTCTTCCCCTGCTGAATTTCCACAAGCTTATTACTTGTGGCGCTGATCACAGACCACCTTTAGCTTTATATATATGCTCTCCTACTAGATTCTGGGTAACCTAAAAATAGGGATGGTGCCTCCATCTTTGATTATTTCTGTCCCCAGCCTGATAACTTTATGGCTTCTAAAGAGAACAGTTCAGGGGCGCCTGGGTGGCTCCGTGGGTTAAGCCGCTGCCTTCGGCTCGGATCATGATCTCAGGGTCCTGGGATCGAGTCCCGCATCGGGCTCCCTGATCAGCGGGGAGCCTGCTTCCCACCCCCCTCTCTCTGCCTGCCTCTCCATCTACTTGTGATCTCTCTCTGTCAAATAAATAAATAAAATCTTTAAAAAAAAAAAAATAAAGAGAACAGTTCAAGCATCAGCTGAACCAATCAGTCTGTGTAGACTCAGAGGCTCAAAGGCTGTGTAGCAGGAGGAAATGGTGTGAACAGAAAGAAACCTGAATTCAATGAGACCTCAAGTTTTACATTAGGGAAAACCTTTCTTTGATGGCTCTGTTCAAACGAAAATCAAGTTGGAAATACATAATTTGCTGAGAAACTGAAGTACTCGGTGTGCTGAACACCACTTAGGTGATTAGATGTGTTCAAGGACAGCTGTACTATTTGGCTCGGAACCATCCCAGCTGTGGAAGCTGGACTAGGAGTTTGTAAAGTGTTGCTATGTAATCCCACAATAAGAAGCAGGAACAGTTTCACTAGCAGAAATATATCATTTTTAGGGGCGCCTGGGTGGCTCAGCTATTGAGCATCTGCCTTAGGCTCAGGTCATGATCTCAGGGTCCTGGGATCGAGCCCCGCATCTGGCTCCCTGCTCTGCGGGAGCCTGCTTATCCCTCTCCCACTCCCCCTGCTTGTGTTCCCTCTCTTGCGGTGTCTCTGTCAAATAAATAAATAAATAAATAAATAAAATCTTAAAAAAAAAAAAAAGGAAATTTATTATTTGTATGTATGTAATAAACTATCAGCACCTTGTACACATTATCTGAAGCACGCATGACTGGTTGTTCTAGTTTTCCCAGTAATGATCATTTATCATCTGCCTTCTGGTCCACCAGCACACACCAACGGGCAAATGGCAGTGAACCCCCAGCACGTGACAAGAGTTTGGGCAAGAAAACAAAAATGTGCTGAAAACACCGTTTTTCTGTGACTTGGGATGGTCTAATTCATTAAGTTTGCTGCTAGTACACTTGAGTCCGACGAGTGCTCTGCAGAGGCACCATCTGAACCACTGGAAGAAGGGCCGAGAACATGTACTGGGAGGCACGTGGATGCTACCAGAAGAGAAGAGACCAAGGAGGAGGGGAGCCTTCCAGGCGGCCAGACTCAGGAGCCCCCAAGGACAGGACTCGGACTCCCGAAGCCTGCAAGTACCTACCCTACAGGACCGCTGCTAAGCCCGCCGCTCTGAGAGACTCACATCAGTTGAGCTTAAATGTCAAGAAAAAAAGAGACACACACAAAAGTGGCTTTGATTATGTAAGTCAGGGAGGGCCTACAACAGCTGTTCTCCGCATCACACCCCAAGGCTCCCTTTTAGGGACAGCAGCAGCTTTGTCAATGACACAAATGCGGGGGGCATGAGGCTTCCGGCAGCTTAACATTTTAATTTAGGGGATGGGGAGGAGTGGAAGAATACAGAAGTTGCTTTGTGCCCCTCACTACATCCTAATGCCTTGGGGACCAGCCAGGCCGACCCAAACGGAATCCAGAGCGAGAGTGGGGCGTTGGGCTCCCCGAGGAAAGGGGGCAGATCCAGAACAGAGCAGAAACGGTGAGAGTTATCTGTGTGAGAAAGTAAGGAGACTCTAGGTAAGAAGGACTGGCATCAACCTACATAGCAACTGGGGGGAAGGGAAGAGAAGGCAGCAGGAACGAGAAAGACAGCCAGACACTCCAGCCTGAGTCATCCGGCTTCTTCTCAGGTTAGTGGGAAAGATACAAAGGGGCAGATTAGCATCAAGGATCAAGGGTCCACAGCAAATGAATGAAATCGCCAACTCTTTCTGGTGCTTTTTACCACCTGGCTTGCTCTGGGACTCAGCTAAATTCTTTGGTGAATTTGGTGTTTCCAATCATGGCTGTTTCCTCTGAACTTTATTATCAGGACACAAATTAAATACACCCAGGAGGTGTGAATTCTGTTATGCAATGTTAGGGCCCAAGACACTGTTCTCTGGGCCCTATGTCCTTAGGTATATGATGACATGTATCTACCTTCAGCAGTGTCCCTCTGAGAAGACTGAATTGGAGAAGCAAATAGAAACACCATGGTGTTGTAAAGAAGGGTCTATCAACAAAAAAATATTTAAAAAAAAACACATGTCCATCAGGGTGCCACCGCAGATTCAGTATGAAAGGCCACCCAGCTTTTGCCAGTACGTAATCAGCACCAATATTTTAAAAACAGCTTGAAGTTTTTAGTATCCAGAGGATAAAACCAAAGCACACTATGCACAGCCTGTAACCCCAACCACCCACAAACCAAGGTCCCAGCCCCACTCTACTGTCAGATAGTTACATAGAGGTCATGTCATTGAGGGCGTGGTCCAGCTCCTCGCTAATGGCCTTGTACTTCAGTTTCTGGGCATAGAGCTCATCTGGATACGCACAGGAACACCGGAAGGGACGAGGGGACAGAGTGAAAGGTATCAGAAGCAGATGACAAGAGGGAATCATTAGAAATAAGAAAGAGTGTGACTGCGGGTCTAATACCCCAGGTCAGGAAAACATCTGTCCTGGTGGCCACAACAGGCCATTTTCAGATCCACTGTCCCCCCAGGACCACTGAACTTCTCGACACCTCTGATCAATTATAGTCAGGATTGAGAATCTAGGCACAGTCATGACTAGAAATTCCTGTTACCAAAATACTACTCCCACCCAGTTAACCCAGTTCCTAGCAGGGGTGACACAATAAAAGCAGAAAAAGGAGAAAGAACACATTAGTACTCAAGACACTTCTTCTCTACCAAGCAAGACCAGTACATTTGGCCCCTTTGTTCTACAGGATGCCTGCCCAAACCCCCACGTACTAAGACTATCCTGCTACCCAGAGCATACCAAAGAACTGTATCTCAAGAGTTCTCAAAGTCTATTTTTGCTCATGAGAGCAGACTAGTTGCCAAAATAGGGGGACAAAAAGTATTTAGAAAGCCCCTCCCCAGGTGGGGGGGGGTGCCTATGTGGTGCCTATGCCCATGATGGCTGTTTGTTGAGCCTCTGCCTTCGCTCAGGTCAGGATCCCAGGGTCCGGGAACCGAGTTCCGCATCAGGTTCCCTGCTCAGCAGTCTGCTTCTCCCTCTCCTCCTTGCTTGTCCCCCCACCCCGCAAATAAATTCTTAAAAAAAAAAAAAAAAAAAAAGAAAAGAGGGGCGCCTGGGTGGCTCAGTGGGTTAAGCCTCTGTCTTCGGCTCAGGTCATGATCTCAGGGTCCTGGGATCGAGCCCCACATCGGGATCTCTGCTCAGCAGGGAGTCTGCTTCCCCCTCTCTCTCTGCCTGCCTCTCTGCCTACTTGTGATCTCTGTCAAATAAATAAATAAAATCTTAAAAAAAAAAAAAAAAAAAAAGAAAAGAAAGAAAGAAACATTATTTTTAAAAAAAGGAAAAAAAGAAAAGAAAGGGGCGCCTGGGTGGCTCAGCGTTAAGCATCTGCCTTAGGCTCAGGTCATGATCCCAGGGTCCAGGGATCAAGCCCCGCATCAGACTCCCTGCTTCTCCCTCTCCCACTCCCCCTGCTTGTGTTCTCTCTCTCTCCCTGTGTCTCTGTCAAATAAATAAAATCTTAAAAAAAAAAAGTAAAAAAATAGAAATAAAAGAAAAATGAAAAAAAGAAAGCCCCTGGGATTCCTCAGCTCTGAGACATGGACATTTCACAGCTGCCTCTCTCAGAGATCCCCCAGAATTTCAGTGATGAACAGGACTGCCCAACGTCGCTGTGGGGTACCACACACCTCGCTGCCTCCCAAAAGTGTGGCTACCATTTCAGCCCAGAGACCAAGACTCAGGACTACTATGCTGGAGGTAAATGCAGTCACTACCAGTCTCCTCCAAGGAAAGGAAGCAAACTCCAGAATACTAGGTAAAGTCTTAGTAAAGGAAAAGGTTGTACATGTAAAAATCCAATTCTAGATTTTGACCCTTTTCACCTCGCTGGGACACAGGACAGGGCGAGGGGCATGTGGCAGATCACTACCCACTTCCTCTGGTGGACAGGGAAGGAGGTTAACAGTCAATGGGCAAGGTCTTCCTCTGTATCTCTCTCATTCCTCTCCCAGGCTCCATACCTTCCAAATCATCAATTGTCTTCTCCAGCTTCGCTACCGATCGCTCAGCAAACTCAGCACGGGTCTCTGCCTGGGGGAAAGGTGACACCAGACAGAATCAGAGATGAAAAAGACAATAAAAAGGATTCTCTATCTCTTCTACTTTCTATGCACAGAACTTTCAGAACCAAAGCCAAGCCTGTCTGAGTCTTAAAGAGTGTCTCATACGCCTCTGAATGTTTTGATTCCTTCCCTAGAACCCCCTCAGCTCACCTCCTTGAGTTTATCTGTGAGAATCTTTATCTCTTCCTCGTATTTGTCCTCCTTTTGCGAGTACTGTAAGAGAAGTAGAATAAAAGTTTCAGAGTGGAGATTCCTCACACAGACCCTACCCCTGCCACCACATTCACTCATACAGTGAACAGCCTCTTGGAGTTAATGTGCTAAATGGCCCATGAGAAAAAGAGCAAGGCCCATTTCTAAACAAAAGATCCTTAAAATCCACAAACCAATTTCCTTAGAGTCTTGATACCCTCTGATTAGAATCCTCCAGACCTTTATTTTTAAAATGGACCTACGGTTTTATGTTATTCAGATCAACCCAAAGAGGTTTTTCCTTCCTCCTGTTTAACGAGTAGGTGTAATGACAGCCCAAGGCCACAAGGCGGAAACAGCCCCATGTGCTGGTAAAAACCAGTCATCTGTCTTGACTGCCTACTAGATCTCAGATCCACTATTTGATGTCCCTATCAGTCTGCTAGAAAACCACCCGGGACCTGTGATTACTGCCACTTCTGCCACTTCGCACAGCGGCATCAGCCAGAGGGGGACATGACCCCAAGCACCTGAGGCCACGAAGTGATTTTTCACTAAAGGAATCAGTGTGCACAGGAATTAGCATTAAACCCAGAATCCGGGTGACAAGGATGCATCTCACTAGGTTGTGTAAGGAATGGGTTTCTCCAGTCTTTCATCAGGGGCAGGGCTGGGCCCAGGCCCCAAAGCCTGTCACCATCACAACCAGCCCCTACCTTCTCCGCCTGAGCCTCAAGAGACTTGAGGTTGTTGGTGACATTCTTCAGCTCCTCCTCCAGCTCAGAACACTTACTGTGAATGTTTTAATTACCGCAGGAGAGGAAAGGGGAAGAAGGAGAGAATAAAAAAAAGGGAGAGAGAGACACACAGACGTGAATTGAACCTATATGGAGAGAGAGCTGGGAGGCATACTGGGGCAGAGAGAAGTTCCCGGGTCACCTGAGCAAGTGTCACCCCTCCTCCCTCTACCACAGAGCGTGTCAGAAGCCGGGCCCTCCTGGGCTAGGACTCAGAAGTTTGGATACTAAGCGAACACGTGAGAGAAACCTCTCACAGGAACCAGCGCTAACCGCTGGCTGGGGTGTAGGTGGGATCGGACGTCCAACCCGGACAGGCCCCGGCCACCCGCGGGAGGGAGCGGCCCTGCGGAGGTGGCGAAGCCACTCGGAAGAGATGGAGGAGGCTGAGTAAGTGGGAGAGAGTGCAGCATTCCATGAAGAGATGAGAAAGCGCTCAACAAACCAACCAGTGGAGGGAGGCAGCTGTCGGACAGACAGAAGGACGGAAGAGAAGGGAAGCACACCACACACCCGGAACCTGGTCGCGGGTCTAACGGCTACAGTACCTTTTCTTCAGCAGCACTCAGACACTTGAGGTTCTGGTCCATCAGCCTGATCTGCTCATCCATCTCCCGGCAACGGCTGTTAGTGACAGTCACGGGGGTCGCACAAGCCAGGTTGTGGGGAGGGAGAAAGGTCAAAAAGGACACAGCAAGGAAACAAGCAGCAAAACGGAGGGGGGGGGATTTTTTTTTTCTTTTCTCCAAAAAATGGGAAGAAAACACCACCATGGTCATGCTATGTCATGTCTGGGAGAGGGGGATACAAAGGAAGCACAAATACATGCGCGTGTCAGCACTGCCTTTGTTGCGCAAGGCCCAGAAGGTGCCAATGGGATCACTTCCTGTCTGCCCTTGCCCTCAAGTTCGCCAGGCTGGCAACGTGGTAAAAAAGAGACCAAGAGATCGCAAGTTAGGGTTAGGTGGGAGGACCCTGTAAAGGGCCTGCAGGTTAACTCTGCACCATATGTTAATTAGTCTTTATTTGCCCATTGGCAAGCCCTCCCTACAAGACATAAAGGAAGCCTCATTTGTCACCTGTCACAGCCATTCATTCTCAGGGCCTAAAAAAGCCCCTCTCTAGGCCCTGTTTAACAAGGTTGAAGGAATGCTAGTTGGTTTACATGAATGCGCAAGCCAAAGGGAAAAGGACAGAGCGGTATGGCGCCAAAGGGAAAAGGACAGAGCGGTGTGGCAAGATCTGGGGAGCAAGATACTCACGACTCTGCCAGCTCAGCTCGCTCCTCTGTGCGTTCCAAGTCCCCCTCAATGATCACCAACTTCCGAGCCACCTACAGGACAAGAGCCCGTACAGCTCGGTGAAGCAAAGAGGAAGCCATTTCCCTCTACCATGATTCTTTTTCAAAAACCCTACAACACTGAAGAGGACACACACAAGGCACCGTACCTCTTCATACTTCCTATCTGCCTCTTCTGCAATGTGCTTGGCCTCCTTGAGTTGGATTTCCTGGAGTTCCATCTTTTCTTCATCCTTTAAGGCTCGGTTCTCAATAACCTTCATACCTCTGCCAGAAACAACAAGGACTAATGTGGCACTGACTCCCTGGGGAGTCTACCACCGGCTCACCAGGAGGGACTAGGAATGGCCCCTTCTGAAGCCATGCCTCTCTGCCTACCACCCCGAAAGAACTCCCACACCAGCCCCCACCTTAGTCTGTTTTAATACTTCTTGAAAAACAAAAACAAAAACAAAACTCTGGGGCGCCTGGGTGGCTCAGCTGCTTAAGCATCTGCCTTCGGCTCAGGTCATGACCCCAGGGTCCTGGGATCAAGTCCCGCATCGGGCTCCCCGGTCAGCAGAGCCTGCTTATCCCTCTGCCTGCGGATCCCCCTGCTTGTGCACTTTCTCTCTGACAAGTAAGTAAAATCTTTAAAAATAAACTTTTTAAAATAAAAAACAATACACCCTTAATATTAAGTAAACAGTTTAGGATACAAAGTAACCCTCCCCACCTCTACTCCTGCTCAACAAACTCCATAACCCTTCCAGAAGGGTTTTATATAGATAAAATCCAAACAAACCTCACCCCCAATTCCCCACACCCCAAAAGAATCATACACTACCCCGTTCTGCAACATGTTTTCTTTACTTCCTAGGATCTGGGGTGCTACTCTGCACCAGTAGAGACCGCCAAATTCCTCATCTTCATAGCAGCACTGTGCCCACGTGTTCTGATAGAGCATTTCTGATGCTGAAAGCCTTCCTCACACATGTGCTCACACACCTTTGCTCTAGTCTAACTCACAGCGGCAAGAAGCCAATTGGCTATTTTCACCAAAGATGAAACAAATCAAAACTTTCACCAAAGTTTTGATTTGGGGGCGCCTGGGTGGCTCAGTGGGTTGGGCCTCTGCCTTCGGCTCAGGTCATGATCCCGGGGTGCTGGGATTGAGCCCCGCATCGGGCTCTCTGCTCGGCGGGGAGCCTGCTTCATCTTCTCTGCCTGCCTCTCTGCCTACTTGTGATCTCTGTCAAATAAATAAATAAAAATCTTAAAAAAAAAAAAAAAGTTTTGATTTGTTTCAGGGACTGTGGTTCTCAACCACAGACACACATTATCAGACAAAATTTAAAAACATCAACACCCAGATGTTGCAATGGACTCTCACTGAACTGGGGTGGAATTCCAGGCATTCTGATATTTTCAACTCCCCAGTGATCCCCACCCCTCGCTCCCATGATTCTAATGCTGTAGCAGTGGCTGACAGAGCTTATCTCACACTCACTGCTGGGCTCCCGCTCCACAGTTCCTGGCTCCTAGATCAGGGTAAGGGCTGAGAAAATGAATTTCCACCAAGTTCCCAGGTGCTGTTGGGCTGGGAGCTCACTCTGAGAATCACTGCTTTAGGGGGACTAACCTCACAAATTAAGCCTATGATTCTGTGGAGGCCATCCTGGTGACCCTATTTAAGAAGTGAATCATTAGATCAGTTTCTAGTGTAACACCAATTATCAAAGGTCACAGCGCCCTGGTAACCCTTAATCTGCCTTCAAGTGAAAGGATATGCAGAACAGAAACAAAGAGGTAATTTACTATTTTTATATGTTAACTAGGTGGAATTTAAATAAAAACTTGGGGAGGGGTGGAGCAGGGAGCAGGATTTTAAGGGAAATCCTCCTCCGAGTGTCCTGCGTGTCCTGTGCTCCTGAAAGCCGCCCCCCCATGAGGCTGTCTACACACCTCTCACTCTCATCAGCAGCTTTCTCCGCTTCCTCCAGCTTTTGCAGGGCAGTGGCCAGGCGCTCCTGGGCGCGGTCCAGCTCCTCCTCAACCAGCTGGATCCTGCGGTTCAAGGAGGCCACCTCAGCCTCGGCCTGTGAACAAGAGAACAGAGAGGCGGAGCAGGGCTAAGACCAGGTGGGGCGCCAGGAAGGAGCCAGGGTCCAACACGGCAACACCTGTCTTAGTGCAGATGCGACAAGATGACAGACCCCCATTTCCTCCCTTTCTCATCAGCGGATTTCCATGTGCTCCACAAGAAGCATGTTTTAAAACTCAGTTCCTTGCCCAGCCCAGTGCCAGTTAGTACTAGCTCCTTTCTGGACTCAGGTCAAACTCCTGAACACGCTAGTGTCAGAAAAGGTGGCCAGTGAAGGGTCCCCTGTGCCTGCGCTCTGGCTTAGAAGGGAGTTCCACTCTTTAGCAACTTTCTTCTAAGTATCTCAGAAAGTGAAAAAATAAGTAAGCGAAGTTTCTTAAAGAGGGAAATGTGGATTATCCATTAATTTGCTGCTCAACTCAAGTTGTTTACCCTCCAATGACCTTATCCTAATATACCAGGAGGGTCACTAGACAAGAGAACATTTTTCAGAGTAATAGTCCAGACCAGAAAGCAAAAGGATCCAACATCGGGATATCCACCCTCCCACCCCTACGACTGGCTCCCCATCCCCACCTTTTCAAAGGGGACAACAAGGAACTCTCCTAGCTAAAATGACCTGCCTTGAAGACATACGGAAAAAATGGGGGGCAGAAGAGAATGTTTCCTCCAACGCCTACCGCCACTCCTGCAAATTTCTCAGCTGCGACCCCTTGCTACTCCTGCAGTCATCAGGACTCCGGACTTCAGCCCTACCCTCCCCACAGCTTGACAGTCCTCTCCGCACCTCAAGCACAGGCTGGGACTCAAGCCATCTCATGCCTCCTCCTCGACAATGGAGTGAGAAACAAGAAAAGGAGGCTGCCAGTATGTGCACGAATTCCACAGGCAGAAAAGCCTCCCTCTTAGGACTTCCTCTCCCCTCCATCCGCCTTTACCGGTGGCAAGTGGCCGCTGCCACAAGCACACAGAATTTAATCCGTTCTGCAAGCCAGCCGGTTCAGCTGCTTATCCAAGTGCTTGGTTAACGTGATCTCTCTCTACAGTCCAGACTGTGTCTGAATTCTATTACCCTGATTTCCTGCTGGCAGTCGGGGTGGGAGCAGGTACAGAAATAATCTGGGCCACAGTCCCTAAAGGGAGGGATATAGCCCAAAAGACTCCCGTTAAGAATCAGGTTATTTGGGGGTATGGAGCGGGGGGGGGGGGGTTCGGAGCAGGGGGAGAGCTCAGCTCAGTCGGGTAAGCATCCAACTCTTGATTTTGGCTCAGATCTCCAGCCCCACCTCACGCTGCGAGCTGGGTGTGGAGGCTGCTGGGGATTCTCTCTCCCTCTACTCCTTCCCATTGCACTCTCACTCTCAAAAAAAACCCAAAACAAACAAACAAACCAAATCAGGTTATTTGGCACAAAGATTTCCAAATACAAACACAGGAGGTTCAAAGTACTATCTGGGTTGGGACTACAGAAGCACCAACCCCCAGGAGAAAAATAACAAGGAATCCACAGAAGCTGAAATTACTAAGAAACCATCGTGTCTCTAACTATCCTACTCAAAATAGCACAGAGACGAGTACTCTCTCATCCTGTCTCTTCCAGGAAAACAGATGTCCCATGGCCCCTAGGACAACACACACTGTACCTCACAAGCTCAGAAAGGGCAACAGGTCAAGATTACAAGAACAAGTCAAGCTACCGGACAAAAACACGGCCAGTGCAGTGTTTACCCCATCTCCCCCCTTCAAATGCCTAGAACAACGACGACGACGACGACAAAAAAGGAACCAGATTTGGAAGAAGCTCATAAAATCTGAGTCCCCATCTAGCTCACCAGCAGTTACCCAAACGGAGACGAGAACAGGGTATGGGGGCGGGGTGTAGGGTTTCCATGACAACAAGCTGGCTCCCGCAGTTTCTCCCACAAATCAGCATTTACAATAGAATTCTTAGCAAGGATGAAAAGGGAGGAGAAAACACCTCTTGGTGCCCTCACAGGAGCATGCGCACACTGAACGAGCTTCTATCAAAAGCAGAACCAGCCATGGGTGTCCCAGCAAAAGCTTAGGGGTCGGGGGTGTGACATGACACACAAACACTGTTCTCCTTTTTTCTCCTTCTACAGAGGATCAGTTCTCTCTACAATGAAAGAGAAGTTTGCAGAATCAACATCTATGACTATGTCTAAGGGAATAAGGGAAGACTTTCGCTTCAAGCCAGAATCTGTGTGCAATGCCTGTCCCTTCCAGATCAATCCGTCCTGCAAGACGCTGGCTGGGACTAACTCCTGCAAGTCAGGATGGGAAAAATGAACTTTATGCTATTCCCACCACCCTAGGGTTGGCATATCCAGAAACAGTTTTGAACTTTCAGCCCACCCACCTCTGCCCCCCCCCAGAGGATACATTCTAAGGGCTTTCCTTTAGGTAATAATCGGACTCTCCATGGTCCAAGAAGCAGAGATCCCAAGGGAGGAGGAGGTGTGTCACAGCAGCAGTCTGTTCATGTTAGTCGACGGGCCGATCACGGCATTCGCCACCAGATGACTTTGGCTTAAACATTACCATCCTCCACACGGAAGAGTCCCCAAGCACACTACACACCTCCAGGCAAAGAACTGACAGGGCACTGGTGCTCCGAGGCAGATCAGGGCCGAGGACAGAAGGGGATAAGCCTAAATCTGGCATTCTGCCACTCTGGGGTTTCTCTTTTTAGAAAAAAGCCAGAGATGAAATTCAAAGAAAACCAGTAACGGAAAAGTCAGGCGTGAGCCTGTGAGCAAAGGGCTGCTCGGTATCGCCTTGTTCACAAATGCTCACCCAGGGAGACCCGCTGTCCTCCGGCACTTCACATTCACCCAGGGGGAGGCAAGCTGGGGGAAGGGAGCACCACTATCTGCCCCACAGCAAACAAAGGTGGAGTCCACACGAGGAACTCAGAGCAAAGGGCTATTTGCCTCTCTCCTAGGAGTGTGTGCTCTAACGTGAAGGAGAGAGAAAAGGTAATCAGCAAGAAAGTAAATCTAAACCAAAGGTGATAAAGGCCGCTGTGCTGTCCACCAGACCCCACAAACAGGAGAGCCACACAACAGCCAGGCATTCTAACTCCTCCAGAGACCAGGAATTGGGTATAAAGCCAGAATCAGAACTGCTGTTTTAAAGCCCACTCACTCTCTCAGTAATATGCCTCAATTTTGGGGGGGGGGGGGGGGGGGGGAACGAGATGGAAATACCAGGATAAGTTAGGAGAGAGACCTATTAAAAACAGTAAGAAGAACTATATAAAAATGGCTAATATAGTAAGTTTCATGTCATGTATATTGCTACCACCACCAAAAAACCAGCAAAGAAAAAGACTGCATTTGGGTATTAAGTTTACCAAGAACTGCAAAGGAGAGGACACAGTGCTACAATGTAAAAGGTCAATCTCCTGAAAACAGAGAAGAAAGATAGATCCCAGAACAACTCCAGACTCAGCTTTGATTCTTCCAGCTTCCCAACAAAGAGTGAGTGCTCACACAAAGCAACCAGAAAAATAATTAAGTGACAATCTCACTAACAGCATGAGATAGCATCAGGGAGTGCTGAGTTTCTAGCTAAAGAGGAGGGAGGAGCCTGCAAAACTCACATTCCAGAAGGCCCTAAGAGGATAACAGGTAGACCAAGCACCGACTTCCTTCCCAGGGGTGTCTCCTCCTGAGGAGGAGTTCAAAGTTTGCCAGAGCAGAAAGTCAAACTGTTAAGCTCCCTCAAGCTGGGAAGTAGAAACATAGTGGTTTCATCAATATTTAACTATCACCCTACTTCCCCATCTGAACTTCCTCACTAGACTTCTACGCTCAACTCAGTATGCAAATTTTCAGGCTGTGAGAAAGGAACAATTTAAGAAACACCTGAAGCTGCCCACTGGGCTGCCTATCACCACAAAGCCACCTAGGAAGAGTGGGGTGAAAAGGAGACACATTTTCCTGCAGGAAAATTACCAAATCCTGGGGAGAGAAGGGAGGAGGAGATGGGGCATCACCCACTCTTGAAGTATTCCTGGGATGCTCATACTTAAATGTTGAGCCCAAGACTGTAGCTCAAGACATGGATACCTCTTTAAAAGCCATCCTGCCCTCCTCTTTAAGGGATTCTAGTCTCCAGAACAAAGGAGATGAAAAAGTGTCCCTACTCATAGTCACCCAGACAGTCCATCTCACTTGAATTGATAATTAGAAGTCACCAGTATAATGAATAAGGAAAAAAATCCCCTGAGAAAAATGTGACGGAGGAAGACAAACTCCCAGCACTTCCATGCCCACTTATAAAAAGAAAACTGTATTCTAACAATTTTTCATGTACTAGCTTAGTGGGCAGCTGCCAGAACAATAATTCTCAGCCACTCCCCCAGGGGAGGAAAAGAACAAAAATTAAAAAAAAAAAAAAAAAAAAATTGGGGGGGGGAGCACCTGGGTGGCTCAGTGGCTTAAGCCTCTGCCTTTGGCTCAGGTCATGATCTCGGCGTCCTGGGATGGAGCCCCGCATCCGCCAGCTCTCTGCTCAGCGGGGAGCCTGCTTCCCTCTCTCTCTCTCTGCCTGCCTCTCTGCCTACTTGTGATCTCTGTCAAATAAATAAAATCTTTAAAAAAAAATTTTTTTTTTCTTTAACTGGAAAAGAACAAGGAATGGCAATAAACCACAAAAGTTCTTCACTGGGTCTTCAAATTTTAGCAACACTTACTTTTCCTTCCAGCCTAGAGATCCTCCAACAAAACCAAGGCCTGAAGTCAGGAGGTCATCTCCACCCAAGGAATGCCCCCTACACCCTGGAAAATCTCATGGCTTGCTAAAACTAGAGAACCATTTCTAAACAGAAAGCAGTTTCAAGAATCACCACTCATTCCACCAACATTTTACGTTTCAACTCTCTGTTGAACAAATACGTAATGATCTCTAAAGCCGCCCCCCCCACCACCACTGTGGAGGGTAATCGGGACAGCAACAGAGTAACATCAC